CGCATACCAGACGTACTACGGATGCGGCATGGCGGGTCCGTGCTCAAGCAGCCGCTGCCCGAATTGCTGGGACGGAGACACCCTTCAACAAGCTTCCATCGACTGCTCCCGGTACATCCGGGCACCCATGGTAGCAAGTTGTGGCCTTGGTCGCTTGAAGGGCGGCGATGTGAAGTCGGCGGCGCAGGCTGGGCCGCGTGACGAGTGGGCTCTCGGGAGTGGCGGAGGGGACAACGTAGAGGTGTACAAGCAACTTCTCCCGATGCCCGCGGCGGGCGGTGCGGATCCTACAGATCTAACCCTGGTGAAGGTTCTGTACTTCTTCCGGCACAAGGGCAATCGGCCTTTGATGGGTGGGAACCCACCACCGCTCACGTGGTGGGTGCTCGGTTACGAGTACACTGGGGTTGCTCACGCCAACGACCGCGTCCCCGATTCTATCACCGGGCATCCGACGCTGAACCTTCGAGCCCGCGGCCGTCCGGCGGTGTACCCTGTATCTGCCATCTATCGGCAGGTGCATCTCTACCACGCATGCTCGCTGAGCGGCGAAGGTGAAACTGGCAGCTCTCACGTTTGTGGGGTAGTGACGGGCGGGGAAGGGTCGGGTCGTGGGGCTGGTGCTTGGCGCCACAGATTCCGCCAGGCTACGCCGGGTACCACCGGGTGTGACAAGTACCTTTTGAATGGGTGTCATCACTCCATCAACCAAGACACTTTCGTCTGAGCACGTCGGGCGTGTCAGAGCCGAGAGAGGTGAGTTTGAATAAATTGGTGGGTACAGGACCTTGGATCGCTACTCTCCCGCGTTCGCCTTCGCCGGATGTATATACTTTTCTATGATTTCCCCTCGGCTCTGACTTGACGGCCTCCCGTACCCCCCGCTTGCTTGCCTTGCGCAAAAAAAGGTGGCGGTGCGGTCCGGGCGGGCGGAACAGGGTGATGGCTACAGCGGTAGGGCGATAGGCTGGCTCACGGACATCACGCTAGGGACGGGCTGCAGCCTGCAGGGGCATAAAACAGCCACCCCGATATCATGAAACATTGACTAAATTATACGTGTAGGATGTAATGCGCCTACTTCGTCCTCTGTTGGAGAGTCAATACTTCAATATGATAGGAGAATGGTGGGGATGATTGCCGACGGATACGCACATGCGCGGGCAGGGTGTGACTTGTTGCTTTTTTCGCCAAAAGCAAGGACAGATTCAGTACTGCTGTTTGATTTAGTATACTCCGTATTATTCTGCTGTTTGATTTAGTATACTCCGTATAATAGGCAGTTAATTATACTTCGCCGGCCGCGGTGTTGCCTCTTTATTGTGTGTGCTCTGTCTCGTGTGTCCGACCTAAAAAAAACGGCGGAGGCACGCGCGCGCAATCGCGCGGCATCCAGCGAAAACTACACGTGTATGTCTATGTGTGTAATGACTTTCACGACACTACACTGCACGGCGGAAGGAAATGGTGTACACCTCTCCGACTCGGCACGGCGGGGGGGTGCCGCCCCCGCCGCGGCGCTTTCCAAAACAAAACAAAAAAGGCGTTCTCATTGTCAGCGCCCACTCCGTATACTGCTGTATGTAGTTACATTGCTGTTGTGTCCCCGACGATCGTTTGTCCGTCTACAGGCACACATGTTTAGTCTCTGTTTCGAGCGAGTGTGCGGGTGTACACCATCGTGCCCGGACCCACCTCTAGCCAGGGTGTCGCAGTATATGACCTTGTCAGGCTTTGCCGGCCGAGGGTGCCCGGCCGTGTGTTTCCAAAAGATAGAAAAATTAAAAAATGTGTTTGTTGTGCCGCACAACGGTCCATAAGTGCCGTTTCCTCGGTGGTGAGGTACCTCTCTGTCTCCTTTTCGCGCGAACATGCTGGTACACCATCGTGCCCAGACCCATATCTAGCCAGGGTGTGGCAGTGTATGACCTTGTCATGGATATGGACACTGCCACGGTGCGACAGGGTCTTGTACAGGGTCGATTAGCCCACAAGGTCGTTGCAGGGTGAGCCGAATGGCTACGGGTGTTGAACTGGTGTGGGGATCATTTGAAAGGTAAAATCAATCTTACAAGGCTGTAAGTTACACCATAGGAACAAACCTGTTCCAATGGTGTGGAACAAACGTGTTCCAATGGTGTAACTTTCCAGTGGCGTAACTTTATCTTTACAAAATAGTCTATATGCGCTCAGCTCGTTAGCACCCGGCTTGATCACTTGGGTTTAGAGCTTATTGAGAGCAGGGATTTCCGGGGCCGGACCTCTCGCCAGGCGCTTTTGTCGCCAATTGTTTCACGAAGTAGGTTTCACAAACGGCGACATAAGTTTCACGCACGAGTACGAATACCGGCTGGATCATTTTTCATTACAAGAAAAAAAAAGGTGCACCTACAACTATCAGCGCTTGGCGAGGGGTCCAGCCCCGGAGATCCCTGCTCTCAATAAGCTCTAAGCCCAAGTGATCCAGCCGGGTGCTAACGAGGTGAGCGTATATCTTTTGTAAGATAAAGTTACCATTGGACAAGTCAGCGCTGACTAGTCCACTAGTCCAATGGTGTAACTTTATGGTACAAAGGCAAAGGAAAAAACAAAAAAAGTCCAGACGACGGAAAATACAGCAGTAAATCACACCCAAGTAAGGGCCTTTTGAAACGTTTCCAAATCTCCGTTCCCAATTCCAAAATTTCGATTCCAAATTTTGGAACGCCAACAAGATTCATTTTAATCGTGACTCCTTGGAAAGGTTCCAAAAGAATACTCCCTCGTCATGAGACGCAGCTCCAGCAGCTCTCACTCCACGATTGCCTCCAACAGACACCACACCCCACAGAGGACAACCAAACATGGACAACAGCATGGAGGCCACAACGACCCAGCGTGGTAGGCAAACTAAAACCCCGGCAAAATTCAGTCAAAACGGCTCGCTTGGGGCCGCCGTAGGCGGTGGAGGATTGCTGCCCAGCAGCCAGAAGCTTCTACCGGGAATCACAGGAGGCGCTACCGCCACCAACATTCAAAGCGAGGGTGGAGCTGGCCGCCCCCGTAAGGTGGCGGCCACTGCTGTTCCTGCCTCCTCGGGAAACGGAAAGAAGACAAGAGCCCAGGAATTGGCGGCCGTGATGCAGGACCCTGCTTTTGCTGACGGCGACGATGAACAAGCGCGAGGCAGCGACGACAGCATCGATGTTGGGAGCGCCAGCGAGGATGACTCGTTCACCATCGATCCGGATGGCGACCTGGAGATGGGCAGGGGGAGCGGTGGCGGCAGCTCGATGGAAGGCGTTGGCGGCAGCTCGAGGGGAAGCGATATCGGGGGCTTCAGGGGAAGTGGCAGCGACGTCGTGTCGGCAGGGGCGCCGGGGTCGGCGAAGACCCTCC